TTAAAAAATCGAATAATAGATTTGCTCCTTATAAATATTTTTGCTTCTTATTAGTTTGCCTGCTGCTTTATTAGTTTACACTTACACTCAATTTTTTCCTCACTGTTAATAAAATCAGCCAATATGTTATTTTATTTTAATAATTCAGTCGTGAACCATTTCTAACACAAACAGTTGTTTAGTTATAGGCAGCCATGAGTTTTTCGGACATTTTCAATAATAACCTTATAAGAAACCAACGGGATTATAGAGTTAGGGATTCTCTTACGGTACCACCACACGGGAATGTGGTATATTTTTCTATAATGTTTAGATTATATTTATTATAGGATAACTTGGAACACTTGATGAATTGTGGTATATACTGATATTGATCATTTGTACATATTGATAATTTTTAATTAAATATATTTTTTAACTTGTTATAAATAGTTAAACTAATTCCATACATACATAACATAACTCACGCCTGTCACCCAGAGGGGTAGGCAGAGACTACAGACTTCCATTTAGCACGATCCTGACATACCTTTCTCGCCTCTTCCACATCCACATCCACCTACCCTTAACCGACGAGCATGCATAGGTATATGGATGTGAAACTAATTACAATATGTAAAATAAACAAATATCGATTTGGAAAAATAATAATATAGCTCGCAAAGATGTTTTACAGGTACCTATAAAACATCTTTGATAGCTCGCTTCTGAGGATGTGATCTTAAATATTTGTACGACGGAACAAATTGTCCCTACGCTAGTCATGCACATTAGCAGTTTGCAGTATGCAGTTTTTTTCGGCGTGTCTAAAATTTTCACAAAAAGGGTACAAACTTCTTTTTCTAATAATGTGTCAAAAGCTCAGCCGGTAACTTAACCGATATCAACGGTGTTGTAGATCCAGGTTTGATTCCCGCACCGATTCAAATATTTGTTAATAAAAAGTTACGTGGTAAAGCCACGCTGCAGCTCTATTAGTAGTATAGTTTTAGCACGAATGGGTCGGCTCGACCGAGGAAGGACCACACTCTCACAGAATATCAGCGTAAAATAGCAGCATAATGCTGCTGTGTTTCGTACGGTGAGTGTAGAGAACCAGAAACCCTTATTACTAGAAACAAGTCATTTCATATTAATCCTCATAGGTGACAACTCATCTGCATTTTGACTCGTAATCGAGGATAGATGTAGATGTCTATGGGCCAAAGTAACCACTTACCATCAAGTGAACTATGTGCTCGCTTATCACCTTTAATCAATAAAAAAATATAAATCTAAAATTATTGTTCCGGGTTAAGGTCCACATGCAATTTATGTTCGTAAACAGTTGCTCATTTAATAATATAGCCTTATGTATTTGATTAAAAAGACCAGAAATACCACTGTTTAAAACACATTTCATTCTTTATTGAAAAAAGTACATTTAATTTAACCAGGGGTACATTTAATAAATCAAGCTTAACATTTAAAATATTTCCGTATTTAGTCGTGCAGATAGTTTAAATTAAAGAACCCAATACCCTCTCCTGCTACGTGCTCTAAATAAAAAAGCTGTAAATCAATATTTCACCGTTGAGAGTGCCGAATTGTTAGACAAAAAATGGTAATTTTAAAGCGAATTCAAAACACGTTTTCTCTTTTGTGTATTGCATTAAAAAAAAGTGTGAATTTCCCAGGCTTCGAGGATTTGTAACACCTCTCGAAATCTAGTATATTTCAGAATCTAAAAACTCAGAAAAACTTTACAACTAGTGCGTGTAACCAGTGATAAGTTATAGGGCTAAGACGTGATTCTCAGAGAGCCCTACGAAAAATGTTATATTCAGAATTCTTCTGAGTAAAATAATCGGCAGTTAAAGCAAAGTGACTAAGGAAGCCCAACGAATCAGAAAGCTAATGTGTCGGCCATATCGCTTGAATAATCTACCACTCATTTTAAAAGTAACGAGTAGTGGCGGTGTAAGAATATCTACTACACCATATAATCACGTGGGTGTCGTAAGAGGTGACCGTCGGAAACAAATCAGGAGATGGGCAGCAGTGTCTTCCTAATAATAATTTAAAAAATCTGCGTTTTCCACTTGCCAACAGCATGGCAACTATGGCAAATATCCCCCTTATGAGGCAAGCTATGGGGGAGGCCTCTATTCAGCAGTGGAATTTAATAGACTGTAACGGTAGCGGTATGTTTAGAAGAGGACTTGTAATCAATAGGGTAGTCTAGGATATTCCGCACAAGACAAAGAAACAACGTGAACATACGTATCGTTTAGTACTTAGGTATTTATAGCATTGAGTTATACAAGATAGACCAACAATTTGAATTTCACTCGTCGACTCCTTTGAGATTGTGTTTATCGAAATTTGGTAGTAAAATAAAACATTACAAGGTAAGCTTCTTGTCTAAAAAATAAAAATAAAAATATTTATGTAGCAAGTTACATGTCTGAAATGAATAAGAATAGTACTTATTACTTTAGTTATTATTATTATTATTACTTAAGTTTATGTGGAAAATACATATATTTGAATGACAACACGTGTGTTAATAATAAGGAACGTTTTCCCCCCAAAAGGAAAGAAAACGATATATTTCATGTCTTGCCTTGGCTTGACCATAATGAGATAACACAGTGAAGCGACGGCGCTCGCGTTCTCAGTACCTCTCAGCCTCTCACTAGTCGTCAAGAGCTTATCCTGGTCAAGCCTAGGCAAGATATAAAGTATATCGTTTTCTTCCCTTTGGGGGGAAACGTTCCTTATTTCATGGTCTGTGCCGTCGGCTTGACCATAATGAGAGGTTTTTAGTTTCTGACGACGCAGTATTAGCGTACTGTGAATAACATATAGTGTTACGCACTTGAGGTTCATGACAATAAAAACTGCCGATCGAATTACCCAAATTAACTCTTTAATTCACTTTACACTAATTAAAACTTAGAACACTAATAATTAATCAAACTGATTCACTTTATTTCGCTCCGAAACTTCGCTTGTCTCGCCGAATTCAATACTTCCCCGATCGCATCTTGCAGCGCCTATAAATACAAATTAGCACCGAAACATCCAGAATATTCAAGTAAACATGCGCCAGGGGGCCGAGAGTTCGAGTGTCGACTTCTAGAAGCTTAGTTATTCGTTCCGAGACTAGATGGCGCTGTCGGTTGAAAGATTAGTGATGTCATTTTCTGGAAAGCTCCCCTCGCTCTCGTCCCTGACACTAGATGGCGCTAGTGCCGGATACATGACGTCGACTTATTCGCGCAACAATAGTTTTAAAATAAAATAAACGTGTATGTAAATCAACTGTTTTTTTACAAAAAAAAAAACATTAAAACAATCTAGATAGCTTTAAAATTAGAACAAACTAAGTCATTAACTGGATGATGTTTTAATTATCTCTTTAAAGTAGAACTTAAAGACATTTTTATCAGATTTCCAATTTCCATTTTTAATGATTATATCTAAAGAAACATTGTTCTCCTGTCTTGAGGAGGCTACGGCAGATCTTATACTTCCAGGCAAATAATCAATATCAAGATGCTAAAAAGCAGATTTTACCCATTCTGCAATTGTGGCTCTAGTTGCCTTAGACTTTAGAATTCCGCGTTTAGATACAAACAAAGATGTCAATTTGTTTCTTGCTTGTCTTCTAGAGGCTGACAAATCAATCAGTCTTTTCGTCCAATATATGGGATCTAGAGACTTAATCGAACCTTTAGACAAATGCCAACCTGATTGTTGATGATTAATCTTATCTGTTTTTGAACCATATACAGGCCAAAAGGTAACGGAATCCTGACTCAGCTTTAGATGATCATCATCAATCCTTAGAAGAGTAAGATCGTGTATTCTTCTACCCGACGCCAGCAAAAGAATCAGTGCCACATGGCGCGATACTTCAAATAAACTATCTTCATTAATAACTGAGGTTTTCATCCAAGCAATCAGCTGTTTTACATCCCAGATACATTTCTTCGACGATGACGGATGAGAATTCTCTATTGGTCGAATATTATATTTCACCAAAGGGTGACTTGAATTTCTTCCCTTCTTAAGGGATCAGCCATAGTGGCTTTAACAGATTTGTGTAATTTTATTGTTCCAGGAGCGAAGTGTTTTACTTTATGTAAAAAAAACTAAGATATTGGGCTACATCAGCTGGATCAGGTTTCTTCGAATTCAGGTTCATTTTATTATATCTCGTTACCCAAGCTTTCCATGATGCGGCATACGTTTTTAAAGAAGACTTTCTTCAAGATCCTTTGAGTAATTGAAAGTCTTCTTGGGCTCATGAATTTGGTGATTTCTGACCACTCCGTATCAACCAGGCCTCCAAGCGTAGATTTCGCGCGTCCGGGAGACGAATGTTCTGTGTCGCGTCCGATAGATGATGCTGTAAGTTTCGAATGCAAATCGGACGGTCCAGTGCTCTTCGTCTCAGATCCGCCTTCCAAAAAACACGTTCCCATCTTGGCGCAACTAGGATGTAAGTGCCCCTTGCTTTTTTCAAGTGTGCCAGCACACGAGGCATCAGTCCTGGCAGTGGAAAAATACAAGCTAGATCGAATTCCCAGATTCTGCCGAAGGCATCTATAAAAAGAGCACCTGTGTCTGTTGTGTCTCGAGACACATAAATCGGTACAAATTTCGAGAAGGCAGTGGCAAAGAGGTCGACCTGAGGAGTTCCCCATTTCTTGAATAGTAGGTCCGTCACTTTGTTCGAGAGATGCCAATCCGCCAGGTGCTTCTGACGAGAAAGGCTGTCTGCCATCTCGTTTTATGTAGTAGGCAAAAATTTCGATTTCGTTCTCGTAGGCGAGTTCCAGAATCTTTGACACTAGTTCTGTCAGTAGAACAGATTTGTTTCCACCTTGATTCCGTATGTAGGAAACCGCTGTTTTATTGTCCGATTGAATTACTACGCGTTTCCCCCTCAGTTGAGCTAGCGTCAAAATTACTTCTTGATAAATTGCGTATAGCTGCTTGCGATTTATATGTCAAAGAGTTCGATTGATCTTCCAAAGTCCGCTGAGGATTCTTTTGTTGACCTGGGCACCCCAACCCGTGTCCGAAGCATCTGTTGTCACAAATATCGTTTCGGGGCTGGCGAAGATTTGTCGATATTTCTGAAGGTTTCCCAACCACCAAAAGCATTCCTGAAGTGCTTTCGTCGGGATAAGATATTTGTGGTTCTTTTGATGTTGGGGTAAGTTTCTTGCTGCACGTTGCAGGTGTCTCGAATGTAGTCTTTCTACAGGAACTGTGAAAGATGCAAAAGCTAACTTTCCGACAAGTCTTTCCCGCTGACCCAACTCCAGGTTCCCGACCTTGTTATTTGCTCTAGATCCTTCTTTAAAAACACGATCTTTCTGTCGGGCAAAAATATTTTGTTGTTCTGAGTATCCAACATTAATCCCAAGTATTCTAGGCAATGGGTTGGTGGATTCAGAGATTTTTTCATATTTAATATCTATCCGAGATCCTGCGAAAATCTTTCTCTACTTCGTTCGGGTGTTGATTGGCCAAGAGAAAGTCTCGAGGTACTATTAGTCTTATTCCTCTCTCTCTCTGAGCTGACCTGCCAGCTAGTTTGACACTCCTGCAAATGTAATGGGAGCTGTCGCTAGGCCGAAAGGTAGGCAAGTGAACTGAAGCATCCTGTGACGATGAAATATTGCCAAGAACTTTCTTTGTTGCAGTTTTATTGGTAAGTGAAATTACGCCTGGGAAATATCTATTTTCGAGATGTAGTCCCCTTCTTGGAGAAATTCTGGCACTCGAAAATGATTTAGAAGACGTAATTTCTTTGGCCGTAGAAACCTGTTTAACCCTCGAAGGTTTATAATAGGGCGAAAACTGTCGTCTGGTTTTAAAACTGGAAACAGCTTGGAAAGGTATCCTAGGGGTGAAAGTCCAGAGAAGCGCTGGAATTATTAATCTTCATTAGGGCAGGATTCAGCTTTAAAGCATGGAACACCGGAAATGCTTGCAATTTCTTTTGCACTTCAGCGTACCGGGTTATTAATCTTAGGCACTGAATACCTTGTGACTCAATATGAGGTTTTGGCGTAGGCATTGTTGGTTCTTGTTTTTAGTTTGCGGAATAAAGTCAGGTTCGTCATCTTCTTCCTCTTCTAATGGTAGATCTAGCCTCCCATTTAACAGTCTCCGACTTATGCAAAGACTGACTGTTTTGAAGTTCATCTTCAAAAGAAGCGTAGGATTCTTCTGGCTCGGACTCATTATCGGAGATGGGTTCAAATCGTTTCATAAAGTTGGAAAACATTTCCTTCATATCACCAAACTCTTATTCCAACTTGTCCATTCTTGACAGCTTCTTTGACTTAGATGATGAAGAACGAACTATCGATAACACATCAGCATCGTCGCTGTCAGCAAGCTCTTTTGAAGCGTATTTTCGACTTAGCAAGAGAGGCTTGAGTTCAGTAAGTGAGGCTACGATTAATTCATTTTGTACAGCAGAGCCTCTTATTCTAGCACCGATGGACGGTGGACCAATAATAAGCCTCACACAAAAAGGCCATTCAAGCATTTTCATTTTGATGTCTTTATATACTTTTCCGGAAGCGAGGTACAATCTGGACAAAAAGCTCTAGCAAGCTCCACCGTAGGCAGACTGAATCTAATTTTGTTTAAGATCTGGGATTAAAAAACTTCACCCAATAGCTCCGCTCTAGAATGAGTAACTACTTTCCACTGTCGCCATCCATCAGGTAGATACAATTCTGCCAACCTTTTTACTCTCTCTAAAATCTCCTTCTTCGTCTTCCGAACTATCAGGTTCCCATTACAAGAGAGACTCTAATGTCACTGACTCTTTTGCGACTGTCATCTGCGACAAAAAAATAAAAGAAGTTATTCAATTGTCTGCTCGAAACAAGCCACATCTGTGCTTAAAATGAGCCGTCTGGCTGCTTAAATCGAGCCGTAAGGCCACTTAAATCGAGCCGTAAGGCCGCTAAAATCAGGCCGTTGGGCCGCTCAAATCGAGACGTGAGCCGGCTAAAATCGGGCCGTCGGGCCGCTCAAATTGAGCCGTGAGTCCCCTTGAAAGGAGCCGTTAGGCTTCTCAAATCGGGCCGTACGGCTGTTGCCTTGAGCCGTAAAACTGGTTTGAAGGAGACCAAGTTTTAACATTGTTACCCAGTATAAGGCAGAAAACATAAGTCATACCTCTCGTAACATTAAATTATGTAAGTAGGCACCCAAATACAGATATAACAATCCCACAGACGTGATTGTCGTGTGGAGATTTCTGAAATAATTACGTAAATACACTTAAATCTACTACTTACAAAGTTACGAGAGGAGAACACTAGAAACACATAGTATTTATTATAAATATGGAAGCAAACTTACCATTAAGGTAGAATTTTTATTACATATAGCAACAACATTGACTAATATAGAAAGGGAGAGCGCCCGCGGAGGGGACGGCACTACTAGAGAAGAAGAGTTATTTGAATGTATGGGTAATATATGGATAGATACAGTAAGTGTTATTTCATTATGGTCAAGCCGACGGCACAGACCATGAAATACTGTCAGTTACTACTTTGACTATATTCTATTATATTAATTTTATAGCCATATTTGTGTCATGGAGTCTTCGAAAAGCATTTTTATTTTACGCTGTCAATAAAATTCTGAACCCACGTGTCAGTATATCGTTTGTCACTCATAACAAAAACACCTAAACGAAAACTTATACAAAAGGCGTGACTCGCTCGATGAAATATATTATCATTCTAAATAAATGTTGCCGACAGTAGTAAGGAAACGTGTTTTGTAAATAACTTCTATCCGTTATTCCGCCTCCCTCACGTAGTCGTTTTCATTGTTGAAATTTTAAGGCAAAGTAAAGAAAATTTTAATATTAGATGTCAGTGAATTATTTGTTACAGAAACATGTTTTTTTTAACTGAAGTGACAAACAAAGTTACAGTCCTCCTGATGATTAGTAGCTACAGCACTGCAGGTGTATTTGGACATCTGCAGTTCACTACAAACAAAGAAGGCTGCAGATGTGTTGTCACCTCTAAGGACTAAGATGGAATGTCTCAAGGTCTGTAATTAGACTGGCTCTCAGAGGGTTTGGAGAGGTCTCAAAACTCATGGAGAGCGAGTGTTATACGCTTCATATGTATTTATAAATATATAATGCGCTATAATAATAGCTTAGTGCTCTTTTACTCCAAGGATACAGGTGCGTTGCCACCTCTGAAAAGTACGACAGAATACCTTACTGTCTGTATTTATAATGGCTAACCATACCGTTTAGATCGGAACGGTGCAAGAGAATTGTAATTGATTGTTTTACATTTTGACAACCTAGATCACAGCTAAAAGTAAAATAAAACTGATCCTACATGCACCTTTCTTAAAGGCCGGCAACGCAACTGCAATTCTCCTGGTGTTGCAGTTGTTCATGGCAAGCAGTAGTCACTTAACATCGGGTAAACCGTAAGCTCGTTTGCCACCTCTCCTGTAATGAAATTAGTCCCAATGCTGAGCATATTCCTTCTCCAAATTCTGTGTGGATTTTCGGACCAGCAAGATTTCCCTTGCCACGCAAAAGTAAAGTTGCAAAGTATTTTAATGGCAATACATTTACTCACATACAGATTTTCCATCGTAGTAAATCTGTACTTAAAAGACTTGATAACAAATTCATTGATAACGTTGTTGATCGAATTTAGTTTTTAAAGACTTTTTTTAAATTTACTCTAATTAAAAAAAATTTAAAACTTAACTCTAACGTCGGCCTGGTTCTTTTTATTACCGAAATTAAAGATAAATTGAAAATCGCCATTTATTCGAAGATGTGAAATCTCTTTAGTCTTCACATACGAATACCTATGGCATCCATGGTGGCTGCAGTATAGAGTGTAGAAATAAGAAGTACAGACTGTGTAATAAAAAGTGTCCATTGAAAACCGTTAAATAAGGGTGGCGCCATTATAACTACGGGGTAAATTTTAAAGAACGCACCGAAAAATATTAGTGGGATAGACGACATTTTCGAGGTTATATTTACTAAATAAAATTATTTTAGATTTTAGAGCTACTGAGCAGTTTAGCAGCACACTTAAACCGTCGACATCTGCTAAGTTCATTTCATCCCAGTAGCTACTCCAGCGCTGTTGTGGAGAGTTTTTGAACTGTTATTTACTGCTTACATATGGCCACCTTTTCAACAATTCTACTATGGGAATTGGTACTCCTTACTTCTTTCTACGTTCCATGCAGTCTCGACATAGATAGCGATTCCATTGCAAACTAGCGATCGCTAAATAATAAAGACAAAAATCGCTTGCCGTAACGATGCTTACGATAAAAGCAAATTTCTACAGTCGAGATTCCGTGCAAGATCGTTAATTATCTTTACTTTACGATGTCGTTAGGGAAAATTTGCAGACCTAATTTTATAAAAATAATTGCTTTTCTTTGAAAGTTATACAGAAATAGATGAAACCTTTTCTTATAAAAATATTTTTATGTAACTTACAAGTAGCTTTTACCGTTTCTAAGAATTGAACTAGTTTGTTAAATATCAAAGGACATAAATGTTTGCCTCCTTGCAACACTATTACATTCAATACTGTCTGTCTCGATTTGACAACGTATACATTACAGGTACTATTTTATAAAAATCGTGACTTATTACATATGTTACTAAAATAATGTTTATGATATTTTCTATGGTGGGGGACAGTGACGCAGGCGCAGGCCCGGTTTCGAGCTGCGTTAAGTAAGTACAACCCGAAAAGTATAACTGGTACAACCTATCCAAATAATTCTATGCGTACACCTATTTCGAATCTATAGATGTTTATTGAATGGTTTGTTTAGATACTGTAATTTTTACAATTTGAATATTTATTTCTATGTTCGTTTCAGACGTAAGCGTACATCACGTGTTACGAGTGGGCAGCCTGAGATACTACTGTCCAGCTGGAAGCTAGTCCACATTTATATACAAGAAAATTTAGTGGCCTGCAGGGCAAATAAAACTTTGAAAAAGGCTGGAAGGAAGTTGCCAACGAGCTCAACCAGCTTACCAACGGATCCGTCAAGACGCCAGATCAGTGATTAACAGTTAAGTTTCTATCAAAAAAAATCCTAATTTACTACTAATGGCTTATACATAAATCCGTCAGCACATTAAGCAGCGCGGATTGGGTTTACAATTCGGTCGCCTGAATTTGAAGATTCTGTCACTGTGGGGGAGTCAATGGGGTTTATCTGAACCCCCACTCATTTTTTCTGCCGGAGCAGCGTCGAAGTATTTTTAATTATTTTTTAAAAATATTGGTAAATGACCAATTAATTACGTTTTTGACGTTTCATCTGTCAATGTCATATCGATATATACTATATAATAGTACTGAATCGATCTAGTGAATCGATATTTCACCCTTGAGAATCAAGATCGAATCTTTTTCTGTTTTATTAAGATTACAAATCTTATTTACCGTTAGTTGAATGTACCCCAACTCGTTAAGAATGACAGTTTTTAATTCAATCATTCAATTTTATCTGTACTTTATTGTATCTTTTGATATTGTAAATATAAACTTTTGACGCAAATAAAAAAAGATCAATTTTTGCGAAATCGATCTTTAAGATTTAGATTTTTTGTGAATCGATTCATCCGATTTCGATTTGAATCGATTTAAAATATGTAAAATTAATCGGTATGCCGGTCATTTTGTTGACAGCTTTTCGTCATTCCGTTGCTTCCAGTTTTTTTTTTTTTTTTTTTAGAAAAGAATATTAGTAATCCTATTAATTAATATTACTAATATTCCCTTTAACCACTCCTGGTAAGCTGAAAATGCTTGTGTTAGGAGTGGTTCACGGCAGTAGTGGAATGGTGGATTCGAACCCACGACCTTTTAAGTTAGCGGTCCGCACCCTGCCATTAGGCTACTGTCGCTTTAGTAGTTAGTTCTGTCGCTTTAATAGTTGCTTCCGAGTTTCAGAATTTTGGTGAATAGTGATTATTTGTGGCGGCGGAATACTGCTAAATATCGCAAAGATCCTTTCTTACAAATGATGCGAAATTATGTTTATAAATTAAAGTAGTTATAAAAGTTAATATTTTGGTGTTATATCGAGTGAAATAGCGAGCGAAGCGAGCCTGGGACGTGGAGCACCCCGACTTGGACAGATTAGGTTAGAAGTTATTTTTTTGTAAACCACTCAGAAGTAGGAGGGCTCCGTCGACCCGCAGTCGAGTCGCCATCACCATAAATTAGTAAGTTTTTTATTTTTTTACACCTACATTCATACCTCTCTACATGATTATATTTCACTAATATTTTAACGTTTTTGATTATTTCAGTAGCAAGTGGCAGCAGAGACACAGCTGTTGCTTCACCAGCACCCAATGAACAACAGGTGCAAGAAGTACTTGTAACTATGCAGTCAGCAGCACCACAAATAAGTAAGTTAGATCTTTGTTACTGATATAATTTTGCTTTACACACATTATATATTTCTATGCTCCGCTGTTTTATCCACTATTTCAATATA